CAGAAGTCAGCCAAGCTATAATAAGGATCCTAAAATGTAGCCACAGAAAGGAACTACAATGGAGACTCTAGGTAGGGTTTAGGATCGAGTCGTTTGTGCAAGGCTGTTCTTAATTCCAGAGTGAAAACAGTACACAGCTCTGAAATCGTTCGGAGGCTTCTTGGAAGTTCGACCGTTTCTGAAAGTTTAGACTGGACGCCAAGGGCTCAAAACAGCTAGACATGCTCTACACAAAGGCCTTTCGGGCCGAATTGCCTTAACACCTGAGTCCTTCTCCTTCCCAAACCCGAAACCCAAAAACCCTAAACCCTAAACTCCCTGAACTCCCGAAACTCCCGAAACTCCCGAAACTCCCGAAACTCCCTAAACCCTAAAATCCCTAAGCAGGGTTTGCATCTCCCGTGCATCATGACGTCCACATCAGCGTCAGCAAGATGTGCAGCAGCTCACCTCTGACTCTCGAAAAAGTCTTGGTGTTCTTCTGGTTGGCTCTTAGGACTTTAATTTTTTGGGTTTCTATGTAACTATAATAAGGAGACTAAAAGTTTAATTTTTGGGTTTCTACGTAACTATAATACGGAGACTAAAAGTTTAACTTTTTGGAGGGGTTCAGAAGTCAACCAAGAAGTGACACTGATGGATAAAAGAAACGCTCAGAAAGAGCAGCTCCCTGATGTGACCCAAAGGGTCCAGGTACCCAAATAGTAGGTACTTTGGCTTCAAAGTAGTCCTATAGGTACTTAGGGCCCAAAGTATATCCGATTTGGGCACATGGACCCTGAGGGTCATTTCGGGTCTACGTGGAAGGATTCAGGTCCCCAAACCCTAAACCTTAAACCCTAAACCCTAAAGTATACCTTCAGGCTCCACCCTAAACACTAATACCCGAAACGCTAAAACCCTCAAACCCTAAAGCCCTAAATCCGAGAGTGGCCGGAAGGCTGTCGCCCTTTTCGGAACGTCTGTTACAGCGGTGGGGGTTACTATAGGGGCCTTAAGTAGTCACCTATACTATTCTGGGGGTTCCTTATTACAAACCCTAAACCCTAAACCGTAGGTATAATGGACCCCACAACCCTATTCTCATTATTAAGGCCCCTACAATCGGGCCAGTTCAGGTCTTGGGTCTATAGGGTTTGGTGACGGTATGAGCTTTGGGTGTATGAGTAGTTCTCTAAATTAGGGTCCCTCTTTATGTCCCCAATATAGCACGGCAGCCTTATAAAAAGGAACCCCAAAAAACCGTAATTTAGAGAACTACCCATATGAGAGCATAACAATCATATCAACTTGAAGTCCCTAAACCCCTAAAAAAACTTAAACCCTAAACCTTTAAACCCCTAAACCCTAAAATCCTAAACCCCTAAACCCCTCAAACCCCTAAAGCCCAAAATCCTTAAACCCCTAACCCCTAAAGCCCTAAATCCCTAAAGCCCTAAAACCTCAAGGGGAAAATGTTACGAATCGCGCCGGCCTCCAAGGGCACGGAGCTCTTAGTGTTGACAGGGTAAAAGTAGGGGGGCCTTAAAAATAATTATAATAGGGTTGGGGATTCCTTTAAGGGGTTTCTTAAAGGGTTCCACAAGGGCTACTATAAGGGGTTTAGGGGCCTTGATAATTAGAACAGGGTTGGGGGTAGGTTAGGCTGTAAGTATAATAAGGGGCCCCCAAAACCCTATTCTAATGATTTAAGGCCCCTACATTAAGTTATCGCAAACCGGACCTCCAGCTGTAAATCGCCTAGATTCCAGATCTTCGAGTAGGGATTAGGGTTTAGGGTTAAATGCCAGAGAGGTGTCACACCCGTATCCTAAACCCTAAACCCCAAACCCCAATCCTAAATCCTAAACCCTTCAGTATGGAACACCAAATCCTAAACCCTAAACCCTTGAACCCTGAAGTGTTCCTTTCAGCTTTGTGGCTCACCATGACTCGCCCCAGCATGCGACAGAGGAGGCCCACTCTGATCTTATTCTTGTTGTTCTGCTCGGAATTCATAGTGCCGTTCAGAGTGCTTTAGGGGTGTAGGGGTTCAGGGTTTAATGGTTTAAGGTTCTTAATGCGAATCCCGCTGAGGCTAGGGGCTCAGGTTCTTAAACAGTGGGAGCATAACAGGACGTTCACTGCAAGACACCATACAGGCTAGGTAACCGAGCTGCTATCATAGTATGGTGCACTATATGCAGCTCTTCAGAGAATTAGTTTATCATTGCTTTAGGGCCGTCACATTCAGGATCCTATTGTTGAGACTGTAAATATGGGCCTTATCTCATTTTCTGAGAGTTCAATGCAGCAGATTCCTTAGGTTTTAGGGTTTTGGGGTTTTGGGTTTAGGGGTTTAGGGTTCCTAAACCCAAAGTCGATCTTTTCTGCTTCAACAGTGGTTCCATGGTGGGACGTGGTGATCTTATCTGAAAAGCTGCTATGTGGGATTTGGCGGCCCGCCGTCTCTATGTTTAGGGTCTTCTTTTTTCGGGACTTCAGGGTTAAGGGTGCAGGGATCAGGGGCAACACGCTCCTTCTATTCGGGGTCTATGCCTTAACCCTAAACCCTAAACGATAGGTGGGCAGTTCTTTAAATGAGGGTCCCGTTTTAGATCCCCAATATAGTACCTTGTAAAAGGGAGCCAAACGGGGACCCTAATTTTGAAAACTGCCCAGGTACCGTCAGGCTCGTGGGCCCTAAGCCCCTAAATCCCTAAACCCCTAAACCCTAAACCCTAAAGCCCTAAACCCTAAACCCCCAAACCCTAGAACCCTTAAACCCTAAACCCTAAACCCTAAAGCCCTAGATGCAGGTCACCCGGACTTCTTGTCCTGGCCCTGGCCCTTGGCCTCTTTGCTCTTCATGCGGCGTTCGTTGGCGTCCGCCCGGACGCAGGCCAAGCCAGAAACTCTAAACCCTAAACCCTAAACCCAAGCCAGAAAGCCGTAGAGGTCTTAGGACTTTAGGATCCCAAAGGCTACCTTGGATACCATTGTAGTTCCTTTTTGGGGATACCTTATAAAATCCTTAGTATATAATTGGTTAAACTGTAGGATCCCAAAGGGTCCAAGGTATAGTATAGTATATACTTTAGGGTTTAGGGTTTAGGGTACCTACATAGGATCTCGTGTTTAATGTAGGAGTTAGGCCTTCGATGCCTGGCAGCCCTGCAGGCCTGTAGAAGGGTTCCCACAGAAATCCATTATGCTTGGTGTTCTTCTGTTTGGCTCTTAGGACTTTAACAGTTTGGGTTTCTATATAACTATAATAAGGAGACTAAAAGTTTAACTTTCTGGAGGGGTTCTGAAGTCAGCCAAGTGTTTAGGGTTGTGGGTGGGG